CTCTCTCTCTCTCTCTCTCTCTCTCTCTCTCTCTCTCTCTCTCCTTATACTGCAATTACTAGCAATTAATTTATTTTAAGAAGGAGTTGCGCATGGTAAATTGTGCTGTAAATTAGTTTTTGTAGCGCCTATATTCATGCTTTTCTAAATAATATTTGGCTCAGCTTGAGTTGTGTTAGGCAAGTGACACTATTTCTTTTTATGATAATAAGAGGTGGAGGTAGATCAAAATTGACCTGAGTTGAAATAGTGGAGAAAATATGATTTTGGTAACCGTAAAAATATGGTCTATGATGAGCGAATTTCTGATACAGGAACCATGTGGCTGACCTCATATAGTTGGGACATGGCTTGGTTGATTGATTGGTTGTTGGTGTTTTTCTTCTGTGTGGTGCTTGAAATGCTACTTGAGTTGATACAAAAGTATCTGAATTTTTTACTGCGATTATCTAAATTGTGTTAAATTGGGTAATGTTACTGTGTGGCATTCAAAACTTCAAATTGCCACCTCTTTTCATGTGGGATGAATTAAGATTTAGAAATTCTTCATTTTTGGCATCTCACTATGGTTGATTCTCACTGTTTTGCAGTTGATTGTATTGATTGCGCTGCTGATGCATCAGTGGTTACTGCAGTGAATGAGGGGATTGAAGCAGCTAGAGGCATTGTGCCCCTTAGAAGGCCTTGGGTAATGATCAGTGTGAATGACCATGAAGATCTTCATTTTCGTAAAGCTGGTAAAGTTTGATTTTTTCCAGTAAGTTCTTGGTCTGGCGGTAATATTAAAGGGCTTTTATCTGGCTCCAAAAAGGAAAAATAAAATAGCTTTTCACTTCTGCGGCCATGTAAGTTGTGCAGAGACCATAAGCTTCTAACCTTGTTACATGATGCATTTGGCATCTTCATGTTACATGCATACTTTGACACCATAAGCTAAGAGCTGCGATGAACATGACATATTTCAATGATGTTGTCATAAAAAATATGAGAACTACTATCTTATTATTTGAATGGATGCTTTTTGTAAACATGTTCTGTTTGTCTAAAATCTTAAGCTCTTAAAGATAGATAATTTCAAATTTTTTATGGTACAAAGATTCCTTTCAAATGTGGTCATTCACCCCAGCATCAGATGTCCTAGAGGAACGAAGAATCATAGTTGATAGGTAGATTATAAGGCCTGTGCTAGTTTTATAATTAATATGTGAGCAACAAAATTTTAATGGATATTTGAACTTTTGATTATCCATAATTTTTAGATTGCACATAAGGATCTAATTTTGCTATTATATGTTTCAGTTGAAGGTTCCAAATGCATTAAGTCTTGATGCCTTGTGTAATTTGTTCTATTTTGGACACACTTACTACCATCTTGGCAGAGTTTGATCCAAATGATTGTCCACTGGATTGTTCTAGACCATGCGAAAATGTTTGTCCTGCTACTGCAATTTCACTGGAGCACACACCTGATGCATTCAAGGTACTACTTCTGCATGAAGATGTGTAAAGACTGCAGTAGTGGCCTCCACCTTAAATTGCCATTTTCTTTCCAATATTTTATGTTAATGATGATTTTCAGGGTGGAGTATTAAGTGAACGTTGCTATGGCTGTGGTCGATGCCTACCAGTTTGTCCATATGACAGAATAAGTGTGTGCTCTTTCATTATTCACCTATATCCTTTCTTATGTTGGATTCTCTTTTATGTCTATTATTTTTATGCCTGTGATAGTAGTGGCTTCCTAAGCTGGTATGTTATGGTGTACTTCTCAATCCAAACATGTTAAGTCAATGTCCTACCATTTTATTTGTTTAACCAAGTATTTCTTTACAATTTTCTCCATTATTTTAGGAGCTATTACATATGTTAGAGATCCTTCTATGACAGCAGAGCTTCTTAGAAGAGATGATGTCGATGCAATAGAGATACATACAAGTGGAAGGTAGTCTTGCAGCTCAACTATGTATTTTCTCTTTAAAGAAATGTGTTGGAGAAAATAAAAGCATTGCCTTGTGTCCATAGGCAGTCTGCACACTTCAAAGAACTTTGGGACAGGTTAGGTGGTTCAGTCAGATATATGAAGCTTGTGGCAGTAAGTACTGATGCTCTTCCTGTTTCTTGAGTAGCTGCAGGATTTGGGCTCATTTGTCAGAACTTAGAAATTTAGCTATTACTAGTTAGCCATTTGGAAAATTTTGAATTATCTGTTTGATTTGTTTCCATTAAAGGCATAGAGATAGCTTATATCCATTTGCCAAATGGAATCTCATGATGTAGTAATTACTTCTGGTTGCTTATTTTTTGGGATGTTCAGGTTAGCTTGCCTTATGTTGGGGATTCAACCGTATCGTCGATGAAAACAATGTACTCCATTATGGAACCCAATCTACACTGCTTCAACTTATGGCAGGCATGTGCATATTCCAGCAATAGCTGCTTGCACTTTTCAAGAAAAATTATTGGAAATGGTCTTGGTTTTCTGAAAAAGCTTTTGTATTTTGCATTCCCTTGAGTGTAGTTGGATGGCCGACCCATGAGTGGAGACATTGGCCGGGGTGCCACAAGGGAAGCTATTGCTTTTGCTGTTCGTTTGGCAGCTGATATAGATAGACCTCGTGGTGAGTAGGCATTATTATGGATGTGTTTGTTTTCAAAAGTACTTTCAAATGAATTTTCAGGAAATAGGCCTCTTTTAGAAAACAATAAATTTGTTTCCTAAGTTCTCACAAACTATTTCCACTCAAAAATAAAAAGCAATAGAAAAGATATAAAGTTTTAAAGTTTTCCACATTTTCTACCTCAGTAAACATGAAAATAAAAAAGAAAAAATGAAAGGGAAACAGAAAATAAATCCAACCAGGTTCTGAAATTCTTTATCTTTCAGTATTTATTGGAAAACAAATTGACTTTTCTTCGGTTAGGTTTTCTTCAATTGGCAGGTGGTACAATGCTCACACGGTGGATGGGCTGAAGAGGGAGGGATTGTTCCAAGTCCCAAAGAGACCTGGTGTTCCTCTTTTTCTTCTTTCAAGTGTTTTGTGTTTCTTCTTTTTTCTTTATGACAATTAACCCCCCCCCCCCCCCCCCCCCCCCCATGCAGCCCCTGAGTGTGTTCTGTATCAACTAACCCTCCTCTCATTGTCAGAGAACTCCCAGAATAAAGATGTTGGGGAGAGTATATCCAGTTCACAAGACACCTTAATTGCTGGAGTAGCCTATGGTGGATATGCACGGAAGGTTAATAATATTTTTCCTCTCATATTTTTTAGTTACTGAGGCTTTAGTTGATCTGGATTATCAATCTCCTCTCTCTCTCATGCATATGAGATTTGTGTTGTTAGGCATTTATGACATTATCTTTGATTAATTGCTTCAATATTTTATTCAGATAGTTGGAAGAGTTCTGACTTCTATGCAGCCCCAGCAGAGACTGGCTCACATTGAGGACTACCCAGAACACCTCTGGATGGCCGTTACGGAAGCTCTTGATTTGGTTGGAACTGTCAAATGCTACCCTAGTATGACCCATACCTGATTGCCTTCATACCTCCATGCAAGATCGAGGTATCTCCCCCTTCGATGTCCGCAGGACCAAACGAACAAAATGTTCCGAACTAGCGTTGGGTGGGGTGTGCCAGGCCTAGGCAATAGTGCAACACCAAGGCGACACTCGAAGTCCCAGTAGCAAGCTACTGTAGTGAACCCCCCCTAGACAAATAAATTTAATATCATGTGGACCAATGGCCCACGTATCAGATATTAAACTGATAAGAACAGATACTACACTTGATCTTAGCCAAAAGGCCGAGAAAGGTATGCTTATTCCTCTCTTAGTCCACGTTTTTTATTTACATCCTAGTGGTCTCCTGCTTTCTCTTTATTCTATGTGGGATTATGAGAATTCATCTTATTATTATTTGGAATTATTAGAACTCATCTTATTATTATTTATGTATCTTTTATCTCTCGGCCTGTTCTTTTTTTAAATTATCACAACTCAAGTCATATGTGGACTTTTCTATTTTGAACAAAACAGACCCAAGAGCATGTTGGTTCCGCTGTGCCTATCTCGTGCAGAGTTTATAATTGTGTGTTGTGAACACCTTTAGGATAAACAGAAGAGGGGCCGGAGCTGGAACCCGAGCAAGTTCCCTCAATTGTTGGGCTTCAAGGCTCTGCTAGGAAATGACTACTTGGGGCAGCTTTGGACTCAGTTAACATCATCTTTCTTTTTCTTTTTTCCTTTTTTTTTTTTATCTCCTCAATTATTTTAGATTCAAAAGAACGCAGAACTCATTCAAAATCAAAAGCTGATCAAATCCAGAGAACAGAAGCCAGAAAACAGAGCTGTTTCAAAGTACTTTTTCCGCAAGCTATGCATTTTGGACCCCGACCGATGAGTAATTATTCCGTACGACTATCAGCACCTTATTCTGTGCGACTATCATCACCAAGATATATGGTCTTAGTCTAACCTTATCGTGCCCGTTATTGGAACCGCATGTGCGACACTAGACTTAATTAGCACGTGACTCTTTCATGAGCCTTGCCAAAGAAAGATGTGCCTCTAACACGGGCCTTACAAAAGGAAGGGTGGGTATAGCTTTAAGTTAAAAGAGAAAAGCGAAAGAAAGAATACAATGGCTCGTATTAAATCCCAAAGATCTCCACCGGGTAGCCCTGCCTTTGAAGGTGAAGTTCTTGCTAGCCGTCATAGCCTCGCTTCAACGCGTCTTGCCGCCCTGATGGCAGCCTCAACCGCCGTCACCTTAACCCTTTGGCCCCAAATCCCTTGCTATCCGCAAACCCATCAAAGACATCACCTCCTCTGGCATCACTGTTGACGCCTCCCTCGACCTCTGGTTCCATCTCTACACCCCCTTCCCCTCCCCCTCCCACTCCCCCTCCCCCTCTCCTACCCTAAGTCACCCCGCCCTCCCCTTCATAACTATACTTTCACGGTGGCGGCTTCGCTTTCTCTGTTGCCAATTCAAAAGTCTATGATGACTTTCACGGCTGTCTTGCCACCACGTACCTACCATTGTCGCTCTGTCAACTACCGTCGCTCTCCCGTGCATCCTTTCCCAACTCCCTATGACAACGGCACTACCACCCTCAAGTTCATTTGTGACGTCCGAGAAGGTTCCGTTCTGCTAGCGGTTACTGACCTAAGCCGCTGCTTCATTGCCTGTAATAGCGCGGGTGGCAACATGGCGCACCATGACCGTGAGCAGAAAATATGCCATATAAGAGCAATTAAAAAAAATCAACAAATCATATATTTAAGGAACTACTCAATGCTTCTCCAAAAAAATTTATAATTTTACAATTATCCTTTTTTAAAAAATTAGCTTATTACCTCAAAAAAATTTTAACTTGTCAATTACACCCTCTTGAAATTAGTTTATGGCCTTAAGCTAAAAGTTTCCGCTAGAACTCCTTAAAAAACAAGATTATAACTTAATTAGGTCTTTTTGCATCTAAGAAATCATTTTCATTTTTTTCATATTTTTGATAAGGGTTCTTATTTTTTGAACTCCCTTATATTTTTCATGTAGAAAAAAATAAGGGTTCTTATTTTTTGATATGTAGAAAAGATGTGATTGTTACTTTTTTTTAATGTTTCAGACAATGTTTGATTACTCTTATTCATATTTTAGAGATTACGAGTTTGTTTATTATGAGAGTTAATTTTCTGCAATTTTCAGATTTTAACTGAAAAATGTACTTTTACTTGTTTTGGTTTTTATTTTTCAGTTATTTTTTCTCTAAATTTTAGTTAAAAATAGTCAGAAGTAAAAATACATTAAAAAAAACTTATTTCTTGTAGTTAATATAGTATAATTATACATAAGTCAACATATTATTGGATAAATATATTCTCAATATTTTAATTAAATTTCCAACTTACCAATTTACTAACACCAAACCCTAAACATTATTGTATGCTTTATTTTATTTTAATTTAATTAAAAATTAAATTAGAGTTTAAAAATAAGCAAAATTATATTTTTAGATTATGAGTAAAATTATATTAGAAGGAGAATGTTTAGAATTAAAATTTAAAAATTATTAATGATTACATAAAAAATTATATAAATTAAATTTATAAAACGTTTGTATTTTTACCAACGGACCCTGTAATCAAAATTCATTTTTAATTTTTATCTTAATAACTTTAAAATTGTGTCCACAATCCACAGAAATTTATTATACGATTATACATATAATATTTCTTAAATGAATGAGTAATTTACACATTTAAGATAATAAGTTATTATAATTATTTTTTCCAAATATTCACTCATAATTATATGAATTGTAATTACATTGATGAACCATAGTAACAAATATTTTATGGATATATAGAGGAGAGTTGGGGAGCACATGTTCAAGAAAGTGAGGATCAGAGGGGTGGTGGCGCTGCAGCCTTTCTTCTGAGGGGAGGAACGGACGGAGTCCGAACTCCAGTTGGGTAGGGGAGCTCCATCATTGAAGTTGAAGGACACGGACTGGTTTTGGAAGGCGTTTTAGCGGAAGGGAACAGACCGTAACCACGTGACGGCCAGTGTTTGGTCTGTAGATATTTCGGCAGCCAAATTTTCGGAGACGATGTGGTGGTCGGTGGTTTGGATCTGCTACAAGACTGGCAAAGAAAGTACCGGGGTGTCTGAAGGAGTGCGGGAAACATATCATCAAGTTGGTTGAATACCCCAATGCCTTTCACGATTCTTATGTCTTCCTAGAATTGACCGAATCTTTCATGTTAATTACGGAGGCGGCTGAGATTTTATCCAAAGTAAGTTATCTTAGTGAGAAGCGAGGTGTCTTAATTTCCAATTTGAGACATATAATGACTTCACTTGTTACTATGCTTTGAGATTAGATAAGATTAAACAATGTTAATAATTATTAGTTCACGTAATTGGGTTTCAAAACTATCAATTTAGGATGGGTACCGGAGTGTCATCCAATATATATTTATTTTGAGCCGGTTAGTATACGAAGATTAAAACATATGCAATTATTTTTTTTATCAACATACTTTGTTTTTGTAACCTAATATTATCTTGATAAATTTCTCGTTGAGATGGCTCTTGGATTATAATTTTGAAGGACTTGGAATTCTCCACCTTCCTTCATCTGCCCGGTGTTTAACAAATGTTTTAATTGGGTACTCATTTATGTTGGATTTTGAAGATTTTAAACCTCAAAATAAGTTTTTGATCTTTTAAATAAATTTTATAACATCTTAATTTATGATTGTAATACCCAAATTTTCATTTTGTAATACTCCACTAATTATCATTATATAATTTTTATTTTGATTATTATGCATTCATTCTAACACTATAAACAGAAGTCTTAATTAGGAGTTTAAATATGTATAAACAGTAAAATACAATCATTCTCATACTTTCTTCTTTTTACTATATATTTTGATATTCTTTTGAATAATCAGCTTTTATTTCTAGTATCTGTGTGAATATACTCATACTAGAAGATGACAGCATGACCATCAAGTTTTATTTTGAAATTATGATCAGCTGTCAATACTTGCACAGAAGAGAGGCAATTACCTTCTTAAAACAACGTCAAGTGATGTGACTTCTATACAAGCCAACTGTTGATATTTCTCTATTTATTAAATTTTTACTTTAATTTCTATATTCTAAATTTTTATATTATTATTATTATTTTGTTTTCTATTATTTAGAACAACAATTTCTAGTAGGTTTAATGCTTGTGTTTGGAGTAGCTGGGTAGGATTTTTAGATTCATGATGGCTATAACTGTAATTGATTATATTGATGTGTGCTTATAATTGTAGCCGTGGGCTTAAGTGATTTTGTTTGCATTAAAATGCATATTTCTATTTTGCATGAGTTAAATTGGAATGCAAGCTAAAAGTAGTTTTGGGGACAAAATTCAATTTCTTTATATGGATTCAACCACCAAATGTAAGCTTATTGCAAATTTACCATCCAAATTCTATCAAAAATGTTTTTCTCTAATCAAAATGCTTTTTTTTTTTTTTTTATCTAAATGCCATCAGATTGCATTTTTCTTAATCAAAATATTGTCAAAATTGAGCAGAAAAAACCAAAATTCATTCTTATCCATTCAAAATTTGTTAAGATATTTAATTATAGTAATTCAAAACGTTTCCAAAATAAAGTTTAAATATTAATTACAATATTTAATTATGCTCACTACAAACATTTTCACAATTACAATATTAAAGAGTAATTAAGATATATAAAAACAATTTTGGCTCAAAACCTTCTAAATATTTTAAATATATATATATATATATATATTGCTATACAAAAATTAGACGGAAAAGTCTAAGCCTCCAAGGTTTTAGAGTGATAACTAGTAAGGCCTCTCTCCAAAGAAATTTTTTTCAAGATTCGAATCCCTGTCGTAATAAAGTTTGGTTGAATGAGTATCAATTCACTACCATTTATCCGAACCCCTTGGATTTTAAATATTTATTTTTCTCAAAAAGGTCTTGTATCGGGACTATTTTTGCAGTCCCTGGCGGCCCATCTAAACCGACGAAACCGCCCATGACAGCTGGCGAAGCCGGAAAACCTTCGTGGCATTTAACCTCTCTTGGCCTATCAAGTAGAAAGTTCCAAACTTCTAACATTGCTTACAATGCTAGGGGCCGGCTGTGTCAGGCCGTAGTATTAACACAATGCTTCAAAATGTAAGGATTTCCTAGATCGTATCTTTTATCAATATAAAAAAATATATAGTTTGATTTAAAAATATTAAATATTTATTTATTTTTTTTCTCTAAATTTGAAATATACACAATTTAGGTGGCTGGTGCTGTCACAAATTATTAAGATTTCTTTAATAAAAGATTAAATAGAAAAATTTAATGTAATATTATAAATTTAATGAAAAAATAAATTGTGAAAATCCTTTTTCTTTTTTATTGGTTGATAAAAATTAGAGTGGAGAAATTAAAAATTATAATATTTATTAAATTAGTATTAGAATTATAATTAATAATATAATTGTTACAACGATTGATGCACTGATCAGTCTTATTTATAACTTGCCCTGAAAGATAAAATCGAAGGAAACTGTCTTCTTGTTTTAAGATCCCTGATCCCAGCGGGACTTTGAGTTGAGAAAGAAAGGAAGCAAAAGAATGGCTCGCAGTAAACGTAAATCCCAGACATCTCCACCTGGAGGCCTACCTTTGAAGCTGAAGTTCTTAATAGCAGCCCACACCTTCGCCTTCAACGCGTCTCGCCGCCTCGATGGCAGCCTCAACCGCTGCCTCATGAACCTTTTTGACCCCAAATCCCCTGCCAACTGCAAACCCATCAAAGGCGTCGCCTCCTCCGACGTCACTGTCGACGCCTCCTTCAACATCTGGTTTCGTCTCTACACCCCCTCCCCCTCCCCCAATCCCAAGGACCCCGCCCTCCCCTTCATCCTATTCTTTCACGGCGGCGGCTTCGCTCTCTCGCTGCCAATTCAAAAGTCTATGATGACTTCTGCCGCCGTCTCGCCTTCCACGTCCCTGCCATTGTCGCCTCCGTCAACTACCGTCGCTCTCCCGAGCACCCTTTCCCAACTCCCTACGACGACGGCATAACCACCCTCAAGTTCATTGACGGCGTCCAGGAAGGTTCCTTTTTGCCAGCGGTTACTGACCTTAGCCGCTCCTTCATAGCGGTGGCAGCGCGAGTGGCAACATAGCGCACCACCTGGCGGTAAGAAGAAACTATGCAATTTAAAATAAAAGCAATAAAAAAAAATAACAAACCATATATTTGAGAAACTAGTCAATGCACATCCTCGAAAGGTTTTAATTTTTCATTTACCCTTTTTGAGAATTATTTTATAACCTCTAAACTTTTTTAAATTGTCGATCACACCCTCATGAAATTAGTTTGTGGCTCCCTAAAGTTTTAAGTTTTTTGTGAGCCCCTTAGAAAACTAAATTGTACCTTAATTGGGTCCCTTTGCATCAAAGAAATCATTTTTCATGTTTCATATTTGACACTTAATTTGAAATTTAACACAACTGTTATTGGAGCGGTAGTGTGTGAGATAAAAATATTAGTGAGTAATAAATTTATTACATGCGATAATTATAAAAATGGTAAATATTGAACAGTAATTTGTTTCCTTGATTTATATAAAATTTAGAAGCTTTAACGTATGAATTTTAATATTACATGGTTGTACTTGTAAAGTAACTTATAATTTATGGACAGGCGAGAGCTGGGGAACACGTGTTCAAGAAGGTGAAGATCAGATGGCTGGTGGCGTTGTTGCCTTTCTTCGGAGGGGAAGAACGAACGGAGTCCGAACTCCGGTTGGGGAGAGGAGCTCCATTGTTGAAGTTGAAGGATACAGACTGGTTTTGGAAGGCGTTTTTGCCAAAGGGAGCAGATTGTAACCACACGGCACCAGTGTTTGGCTTGCAGATATTTCGGCGGCCAAGTTTCTGGAGACGATGCTGGTGGTTGGTGGTTACGATTTATTAGAAGACTGGCAAAGAGGGTACGAGCGGTGGTTAAAGGAGTGCGTGAAACTTGTGCAGCTAGTTGAATACCCTAATGCCGTTCATGGTTTTTATGCCTTTCCAGAATTGCCCGAATCTTCTATCTTAATTACGGAGATGATTCATTTTATCCAAAAAAAATCACCCGAGCGAGGAACGAGGAGTGAGGAATCAGGTTTCTTTCTTGTTTTTTCTTTTCCTTTTATTTTTGTTCCAGCAGAAGTAAAAGCAATAAAAAGGTATAACAAAACAATTACCGTAAATAGAGAGCCCTAGGGCTTGAAGTGCTAGGTCATGACTTGAATAAGAAGAGCAGCCACTAGCCGCTGAGGATAGTTTATCAAGATGACGAGATTTTCATTCTTAATGGTACCCATTCTGATAATTGTCAATTACCTTTGTATTTTTACCTTTTCACTCGGTCATTTTTAATTCAGACAGTTTCATTATATGACTTACCCAACTAATTTTTAACTAATTCGAGTCTTCTTTATAAGAATATCTTATTTTCGATTTGATGTTAGAGCCAAATTCATTGGATTAGAGTCTCTACCACCCGTTGGATGTGTGCCATTGTGTATGGTTGTCACATATCGAACTGCTGATGGGCCTTTAACTTAATTCAACTCTAAGTTCGAACAAATCACATTCTATATAGCTCAACAGGGAGTTGTCTCCTTTGTCATTTATATGAAGTAACTAGGACTAAGCAGTACAAACTTCATCTATGATACACCGCTAGATGGTAGTTATATTCTACCCTTGAGAAGGTGGAAAGTTGTTTGTTTTGACAGTGGATAGTGTAGCGCTAGATACAAGATTGCACAGGACAGTTTAAAGTGGAGGAAATTACTGAATATTAAAATGATAACAAGGTCTTGCACGTGCCTTCCAATAATTAAAAAGGAAAAAAAAAAACAATTCTATAGATTAAAATTTTTGTTTGAGAGTGGGTTTAATAGGAGTAAATTTAGAGAAATTGGGTTTTAAAAAACTAAATTTTGAGAAAATAGGGTTTAGATATATTGAATTTAGAAAAAGTGGGTTTCAGAAAATTGAAAAAATAATAAATATTAATTTATTTATTTTTTTACTATCATAACATTGAAAATAAATTTTTACAAAAGAAAATTGCCACAGGAAATTATTGTTATCTTAGAAAAGTCTATTTTAATTTAGTTTGATAACCTGGAACTAAGTCAATTATCCCTCCACTATCAGGACAAGTGAAAATGAAAATTTGATAGTAATTTGTTCAGCTATCTTCCAAGCATTTGTTTTGCTCTTAAATTTCTTTAATTTTTCAGGTTACGAGTAAATCACGTAATAAATCAAATTTAACGCAGAATAAGTTCACATGTGGAAGAGTTCTCCACGGTCCATAACTGTCATTCGCACGTGCCAAGTTAGTAGGCGCCAAAACTATCAGTGAGCAATGGTCATTGTGGTGAGTGGCTCGTGGGTTGTGTTCCGTTAGTTGTCGCAACGATAAACGACAACTGGTGGAACACTCGCAATTGGTTACATTCAGATAAAGATGTGACAGAATTGCGGACTTCAGACACAGAGAGAGAGGATCTGAACAAAAACGACCGCCCCTGAAACACAGAGGGACAAAACAGAGCAACGTTTCGGAAATCGAAAGGAGCCCAAAGACCCAAGGACCAAGGCAGCACACCAAGAAAAGTTCAGAACGGCGAACAGAACAAAAGCAAAGCATGTTCATCTCTCAAATGCCTTCCTCAAACTACATGCATTCACACGCGCACGTAGAGAGAGAGTGACGGTGCCAATTCGTGATTTACTATACCTACTCATCATCTGTCTCTTCTTCTTCTTCTTCTTCTTCTTCTTCCAATTGTTTCTTTGAAGATTTCTTTGGTTCCATCAATGGAGGTTGAGGAGCTTCAGAAGAAAATCCAAGAGCTAGAGGACAGCTACGCGCACCTCCAACAAGAAATTTTGAAGCTAATAATTTCCAGCAAGTCTGAACCACAACGGCAACAACCCTTTGGCGGAGGAGACTACCGGAGCGCCCAGTCGGATTCGCGGGCTCCCAGACAGAGTGGCCACGGCGAGTTCAACTTTGGCATGGAGGTTCAGAACAGGGGAATGTTCGGGTGTTCGTTTCTGTTGCAGAGGGAAAACCAGACTCCTGACACATCTAACTCCGAGGGTGGTGGTGACGGCGGCCGTGGGCTGCAGCTGTCGGAGGACTTACAGATAGACAGTATTTAAATATAGTGCAGTCGATGGGTCAGTCGGTTCATATATTTGATCTCAACGGTCGAATAATCTACTGGTGAGTTGGTTGAATTTTGAATTCTAACTTGGTGGATTGTCGAGTTATGGCCTAATTATCATCTTTCCATCCTAATCAAGCTTCCATTGTGCAGGAACCGATCTGCAGAACGCCTATTTGGCTATTCTGCGGCAGAAGTTCTCGGCAGAGATGCCATCGAGCTACTAACGGACGCCCAAGACTTTGCCGTCGCCGACAATGTAGTGCATCGCGTAAAAATGGGTGAGAGCTGGACCGGACAGTTCCCAGTCAAGAACAAGAGTGGGGATAGGTTCGTTGTCATTGTGACCAACACCCCTTTTTACGACGATTGTGGCACTTTGAGAGGTAACATTAGTGTGTCTACCGATTCACGCCCCTTTGAAGGAATGAAGGCTGAAGTGCTCGGTAGTACAAGGCGGTCAGAGGCCAATCCGGGCTTCAACTGGCCCAAAAGCATTGGAATTGCCTCAAAAATATCTAACTTGGTTAGTGTCTCCTGTGTAGGATTTACAGTTCGAATGAATTAATCGAAACTTGATTAGTACTGGCTTGTTAGATTAATGAGCAGTTTATTAATTTTAATTCCAGAAATGAAGTTGTCAAGCCTAGTTTCTGTTAACCTATTAAACTGAACTCAGTTTATGAATGAAGTTACAAGGTTACTCGATCGTCTTACAGCCCTAATCACACCCTTCGTATAAATAGTTTTGGTATCTTGATATGGGTATTGATAATACTGAAACAGGCTTCCAAGGTAAAGACCAAAATAAGGAACAGAGATAAAGCGAACGGCACGGATTATGAAGCTGGGAGCGAAGATAGTCATTGTTCCGATCGGGTCGCCTCCGATGCAACTTCAGGCGGAGGCAGCACTCCCAGAGAAGATATTTCCCCACCTCTATTTAAAGTCTCTCAGGGATACCAAGAGAAGAATTCAAATTTTCCCCTGGAAAAGTCCTAGAAATTCCGGTGATGAGCGATGCTGTATCAGGAATTCACAAAATCATCGCCTCAAAGGCAGAGTCGTTGATTGCTAAGGCGGACATCACTCGTTTTATTCGGCCATGGTGGCAGAATCACTGTGACCGCGAGTTAGATCGTGAGAGGGGTTCTGATTCTTGTAAGAAATCAGACAGTGAAGAAACTGAGGGTTTAGGGTCAAGTTCATCGTCGTTGAACATCAACGGCACAGGTAGTACCGGTAGCTATGGGAGTACTTGTTAAAGATAATTCCTTGTAATTATCTTTAGATTAGGATTTAATTTCTATGTAATTATCTTTAGAGGAATTAGAGTTTTACTAGGATTATAATTCCTATTAAATCTAGGATTAGTTTTCCTATAAATAGGACCCTTTGTAATCATTCATGTTAATGGAATAAAGATTGAGTGTTAATTTTCCATCAGTGGTATCAGAGTCATCTTCCTAAGATCCTTCTGCAGTAAGGACTTAAGTGAAGAAATTGAGAGTTTGAGAGGCTTAGGTGAAGATAGTCTAAAATTCAGGGACCTGAACTTCAATAAGTTCAGGGTCCATAGTGAGAATCTGGAGAGTTGAAGGACTGAACTGCAATAAAGAATCCTCGAAGGACCAAATTGCAATTTGGTCATCTTCTTCCTTGGAGCAGATCCGACTGAAGCAGATCTGTCCTACCCGGTTCGGATCCGTCCGAACCCGAAGCAGTTTCCAACCCGTTGCAGAATAGTCCAGTTGTAGCAGATCCATCCAACCTGTTCGGATCTGTCCACCTGTTGCAGACCCGTCCGGCCGAAGCAGTTGCAGATCCGAGACCCGAAGCTGTCCAGACTGTTGCAGATTCATCCGGCCGAAGCAGTTGCAGATCCGAGACCGAAGCTGTCCAGACCGTTGCAATCCATCCGACCGAAGGCTTCAATCCAGACCGAAGCTGTTCCTCCCAGAGCAGGATCCGTCCAATTGTAGCAAATCTGTCCAAACTATTGCAGATCTGCACAAGCCCGGAACAAGATTGCAGATCCATCCAACCTGAAGCAGATCAGATCTGTCCAACTGGTTGCTGAATCAGACACCCGACTACAGCAGACGATCCGGACAATCCAGAAGATCCACCCGAAGCTGTTGCAGAAACCGACGGACCCGGAGCAAGCCCGAAGCTGTTGCTGACCCGTCCGGCTGAAGCAGATCCGACAGATTCAAGGAGATCCGTCTGGACCGAGGCAGATCCGGCCAACTATTGCTGAATCCGACAGACCCGAAGCAGATTCCAAGACTGTTGGAGATCTGCAAGCCCGAAGCAGTTGCGAGAATCGTCCGCCGATCCAAAAAGATACATCCGGAATTCTGTTGCGGATCCGTCCAAACCCAAGCTGTTCCTCCCAAAGCAGGATCTGTTCGGTTGTAGCAGGTCCAAGCTGACTGATTGCAGCAGAACAAATTGCAACAGAGCAGTCCAAACCCGAAGCAGAACAGTAGAACACGGGATCCAACAGATTGCAGCAGAACAGATTGCAGCAAAGTCCAAACCCGAAGCAGAACAGCTGAACACGGGATCCAACAGATTGCAGCAAAACAGTCCAATCCGGCCGAAGCTGAAGCTGACCCGGTCCGACCCGACCCACTGAACCCGGTTGAC